GACCCCAAGGTTTGCCTCATCAGTTTTGAGTGCCACAGGAATGAAATTGTCAGGCAACACAAAGGTTAGCTTAATTATATCAGAAGAAAAAATATACCAGACTTGACAAACAAGATCCTGTACCCAATTCAAACTCAATAGAGCAAGGAGTACCAGGCCCTCGGGCAAAGTCCCAGACTTCAGTTAATTAAAAAAATCCAAGACACACTTACAGAAAGGAGAGGCTAGATATCTTTAAGAAAGGCTGATATGAAACCACAAGTGTTTGGGCTTGTGGAAAGATGGAATAAAAGATAAGTCCTATTTTAATGCAAAACAACTGAAATCTATGCATAGTTGTTTTTTTTTTTTCCCCACCTTACACATTTTCTATGAACCTTTCTAAGACTCTTTGTGTGGCTTGAATTCTTCTAGTCTTTTCCCCATACGACCTTGTCAGGAAGCCCTTGTTGGTCAGGACACTGTTCAGATAACCCTGCAGTTTAACAGCAAGTCCATGAGTTTTTCAGTCACATTTCTGCCCGTGTGAGATAGTTCTGATCTGCTATTAGGCTCCTGGCTAGCTGGTAGGGAAGTAACCTTTCCGGCTTCCAAATTGAGTATGTTGATGTGGTCTCCAAATCTACCTCTCACCAACTGTTTCACCATAGGCAATTTCTCTTCAGCCTCCCAACCTGTTTCTGCAAATGGGGTTTTGCAAAGCCATAGGTTATCTCCTAGGGTTGTTGTGAGATTTAAACAGACAAAAATAAGCTTTGAAGATTTATTTGAGTGGAAGAGAACTAGGGCCCGGGACAGGGGAAAGAAACAGAGACAGAGGTCTCCCATTCACTGGTTCATTTCTCAGATTTTCACAGCAGCCAGGGTCTAGGGCAGACTAAAATCAGGAGCCAGGAACTTAGTGTAGGTCTCTCATGAGGGTCGCTGGGACTGAAACAATTGAGCCATCACTTGCTGCCTTTCAGGGTGTGAATTAGCAGGTATGTTTTTATCTGCTGCTTGACTCCCAAAAGTCAACAATGACCAGGGAGAGGCCAGGACCAGAGCTGGGAGCTTGAAACACAGTTCAGTTCTCTCACATGAGTGGCCAAATCCAATTACTTGCGCCTCATCACTGCCACCCAGGGGCTGTACTGGCAGGAAGCTGGAATGGAGAGCTAGAACTGAGAATTGGCACAAGGAACTCTGATGGAGTATCTAGGCATCGAAGCTAAATGCCTTGTTCCTGAGTTCTGTTAATATGTTTACCAGTATCAAGCCATCTTTGCATTTCTAGAATACATTTTATTTGGTAGTATTTGCGTATAATTCCTTTAACATTCTGTCATTTTTAATTTTGTTAGTGTGATATTCATGATTTTTGCGTCTGAATTTATTAAAAGGATTAGAATGTAAGAAAGTTTTTTATTTTTAAGATTTATTTATTTTTATTGGAAAGTCAGCTATACAGAGAGGAGGAGAGACAGAAAGGAAGATATTTTGTCTGTTGATTCACTCTCCAAGCAGCTGCAATGGCAAGAGCTGTGCCAATCTGAAGCCAGGAGCCAGGAGCCAGGACCTCTTCCAGGTCTCCCACACGGGTGCAGGGTCCCAAGACTTTGGGCCATCCTTCACTGCTTTCTCAGGCCTCGGGCAGGGAGCTGGATGGGGAAGTGAGGCTGCTAGGACTAGAACCAGTGTCTATATAGGATCCCTTGCTATAAAGCAAGGGCTTTAGCCTCTAGGCTACTGCACCAGGTCTGCATTAGAAAATTTTTTTAAATTGTAAAAGAAATTGCTTATTGTGTAAGCTTCAGTTAGAAAAGATTACTATTGATGGAAGCACCTCTTTTTGTGTCTGATGCAATAGCCTAGTGGCCAAATCCTCTTGCCTTACATGCATTGGGATCCCATATGGTGCTAGTTTGAATCCCAGCTGCTCCACTTCCCATCCAGCTTCCTGCTTGTGGCCTGGGAAAGCAGTGGAGGATGGTCAAAAGCCTTGGGACCTGCACCACATGGGAGACGTGGAAGAAGCTCCTGGTTCCTGGCTTCAGATCAGTTCAGCTCTGGCTATTGGAAAGATTTGGGGAGTGAATGAGTGGATGGAAGGAAGGTTTTTCTGTCTCTGTAAAACTGCTTTTCCAATAAAAATAAATAAATCTTTTTTTTTTAAATAGTGTATATGTATATATTTTTAAACTACCTTTTGTTTAAAAAAAGTTTCCTGGTAAGGATCAGAGAATCAAAACTGTATAAAAATTACAGAGCTATTAGGTATATCTTATTAAATATCAGAAAACTGTTGTTCAGAAGTGGTTAACAAACTAGTTTTAGGGCCTAATGAAGATACCAGGAAAAAAAGTTCTAGTACCAGTTCTTGTAGCATAGTACCCTGTTCTGTGGCAGAATAAGAGTGGCTAGAACTAAACATTTCACAATGTATTATGCATTTTATAAAGACAAGACATTAGTCTCATCTGCAAATACTTACCAACCTTATTAGGTTCAATTATTCCCATGGCGTTAAGTTCTAGCTGCCTCACCCCTGGCTACACATGTGGAGCCAGAACTGTGTCTGTGTGTCTGCCTCTTGGACAGTTCTCCCCAGGACACGTCCAGGAGGCTTTCTGCCAAGAACAGGCCAAATGGATTGTAAATGGGGATGAAAGAAACACAGAACAAAGGAAAAACTCTTTGAGGACACAGATGAGTATTTCAGAAAGTCACCAACTTTTGCAGCTATCTGCAACTCGACGTGGAAGCAGGCCCTGGAGCAGCAGGAGCTTCTGTGCCTGCTGTTTCTGCAGGATCTCGCTGTTCCTCTTCCACATGGCAGCCAGCTCCATGCTGGACCCAGCCACCCAACAGCCTCCTCCCATCAGCACAAAGCAACAGACCCTGCCCCGGCTTCACAGGTGGCACCAAGCTGGCCCTGGAGGGCTGCAGGTAACAGGACTGCAGCATTTGCTCCCTTTGGATGGGTCAGCCAGGAGCTCAACCAACCTGGCTATTTGGTATCACATAGCAAAACAATGCCAAGGAACTGATTTATTTTCTTCCCAACTGTTATGTTGACACTGCTTCAGATTCTAATGTGGGCATGCATTTTATCGAAACCTTGCCACAGTGAGCATTTTCTGTTTTTTTTTTTAAACCATTTAAGGGGATGTTGTATTTATTATTTATTTTTGTTCCCAAATACCTTGTACAGCACTTAGCACAGGGACTAGGATTGTAAATCATAAAAGATGCAAGAGATCCAGAAGTCTTGACTGTTCTGTTCTGCATCTTACAGCTCGCTGGTAGAGCAATGAGACCCCGAAGCCCCGGTGCCCTGAGCAGCCCTGTTTGTGTCTGTCTGGGGGCAGACCTGCTGCGGCTCCATTACAATCTCTTGTCCAAAAGTCTATACTTTCTGGAGAGCAGACGTATGTGTTAGGATTTCAGAATGACTAGCGCTTCCAGATAAATAGGTACTACACAAAGCTCAGGAAACATGGTAGAAGCTTAGTTTTGGTACCAAAATTTTTTGAAATGCGTGTGTACAGGTTTTTCCTAATGTGACATTTTCCTTGGAGTTTTTGAAGACATATTGCATGTGAGAAATCAGACTCTCAGTAGAATAAATGCTATGTAAGCTAAAAATATTTGGAGGAAATGGACTTATAGGTCTGGAAGACTGATTCAGAGAATTGAAATCTAAAACAATTCAAAGAGTATGTACAATGTTGTATGAAAAGATGTTAGAATTGACAGCATCATTTTGAAAACTTTTCACTCTAGAAATTTAGAAACGTACAGAAACTAGAGAGAAGAGGGTAATGGACCCATAATGCTATATCAACATTTACTGGCCTATGGATAATATGATTTTACAACAGGTGGAAGATTTATGCGCCTGAAGAGAAAACAGAGTCTATATAATAATATGATTTTGCATCTTTATTCCCATCCACTCCTTCTTGAATTATTGAGATAAATCATAGATATTATATAATTTCATCCGTTAATATTTCAATATATGTCTTAAAATAAGGGGCTTTTTCTTTTTTTTTAAAGATTTATTTTTATTATTTTTTAATTGGAAAGGCGGATATACAGAGAGGAGAGACAGAGAGGAAGATCTTCCTTTAATGATTCACTCCCCAAGTGGCTGCAACGGCCGATGCTATGCCGATCCGAAGCCAGGAGCCTCTTCCGGGTCTCCCACACGAGTGCAGGGTCCCAAAGCTTTGGGCTGTCCTCGACTGCTTTCCCGGGCCACAGGCAGGGAGCTGGAAGGGAAGCGGGGCTGCTGGGATAGAACCGGTGCCCATATGGGATCCTGGGGCGTGCAAGGCGAGGACCTTAACCGCTTGCGCCACCGCGCCGGGCCCAAGGGGCTTTTTCTTTTTTTTTTTTTTTTAAAGATTTATTTTTATTATTTTTTCATTGGAAAGGCGGATATACAGAGAGGAGAGACAGAGAGGAAGGTCTTCCGTCCGATGATTCACTCCCCAAGTGAGCGCAACGGCCGATACTATGCCGATCCGAAGCCAGGAGCCTCTTCCGGGTCTCCCACGTGGGTGCAGGTTCCCAAAGCTTTGGGCCGTCCTCGACTGCTTTCCCAGGCCACAGGCAGGGAGCTGGAAGGGAAGCGGGGCTGCCGGGACTAGAACCGGCGCCCATATGGGATCCCGGGCGTGCAAGGTGAGGACCTTTAACCACTTGCGCCACCGCGCCGGGCCCGGGGCTTTTTCTTAAATAACAATAGCATTATCACAGTTTTTAAAAAGTTAACATAATCCTTTTTTTAAGACACAAATTTTTTGCTGTATATATATATTAATGTTGTCTACATAGTTGAGAGAAACACATGCCCATTTAGGTCTCTGATTTGGGTGGAGAGTCAAGAATGGAGAAGGTGGGTGGGACAGATGTCTTAATTTTTTCGCACATTATTTCCTCATAATTAATACTTACTAAAAATAGGATTGGGCAATTTGTTACACCGAGGCCGTCAATCACAGGCAGGGCACACCAGGACCACAGTCTCTTCATTATTCCTAGAGTTTTACAGTTTAGCTGTGAAGGTCAGTTACCAGGGCTAGGCTTGTGTTCAACAAGCCGAGTTTGTATGTGCATTCAGTCAGAGCCTCATGCACTTTTCCAGGCCTATTCACTTGCAGAGGAGTAGAAACTGCATCCAGGTTCATCCCATGCAGCTGAGTGTGACGCTCCATCCTCATATGCTGTCCAACTTCTTTAAGATAAAAGGAGTGACTCGCAGCAGGGCCACGTAGATGAGGAAGTTGCGTATAGAGGAGAGGACATCCTTGAGCATCTTGCGTTTCATCTCCTCCGGGTCCAGCTTCCAGACGAGGCCCTCGATTCGGAACATTGCAGCTCTCGGTCCCCGGCTTTTGCAGCGGTAGCAGCAGTGCAGCGACCTCTCCCTGGGCTCTCTCGAACCGCCACCTCAGCCGCGGGCCTCGCACCCGGATCTCGGCCCTCCAGATATCTTAATCTTCTTTTTCATCCTGTGTCCACAGGGAAGTAAGGGGAGAGGGGGCAACTCGTTGCTGTGAAATTACATTAGCACCAGGGAAATGGGGGACAATCATTTGATGACACCTTAGACACTCCAGTCTGGGGAAGAGTGTTCCCAGGGTGTGACTTGAGTGACTTTGATAGAACTGAGAAGTCCTTGGCTTTGTTGCACCAGGGGTGAGAAAATATAAGGTCTATCAACTGACCCAGTTCACCTCAGTGAAACCTCACCTGGGGTGATGTCAGACTTGACTCTCATATGCACCAGCCAGTTCAGGGTCAAGTTTGGTCTGTCACCGGCAGCCAATGCACACATACTGGTGGATGCAGTTGCCTAGTAGGGTCCATCCCCAGTCCCATCTCTGATATGAACTGAGTCAAGCCAAATCTAGCACAGGCCAGATGTTCATGCACACCAGTGGGTACTGTGGCCTAGTTAGGGCCACCCCCCAGTAACCCACACCAGGCCTGTCCCAAGCTCTAGTCTTTACATGTGGGGGCATGTGCTGTGGCCTAGTCTGGTCTGTTCCTCTGGCTCTTGTGCACACCAATGGGTATTGGAGCTTTACCTCAGCCTGCCCTGCCCCAAACCCAGCCCACACATATGGCAACAAGTGCTGCTTCCTTGGCTAGCCTGACCTACCCTCAGACCTAGCTCTCATGCTCACCAGTGGGAGCTGCAGCCCAGCAGGAGAGTGCTCCAAGTTCCCCTGCCTGGCCTGTTCCCAGCCCCAGATTTCACATGTGCTTGTGGGTGTGTGGCCCTGCCTGACATGGTCTGCCCTCAGTCCTGGCCCTTGCATGTGTCAGTGGGTGCTTCAGCCTGCCCTACTCCAGCCTCTTCCCAAGTCTGGCTCCTATGAGTGTCAGGTGAGTTCCATGGTCTAGCCTGGCTCAAGCTGTCAGCATCTTTAGTTCCCTGTGTAAACCAGCAGGTGCTGTAGTCTCACAGAAGCAAGCTCACAAGTTTCCTACAGAGTCTGCTCCCAGATCTAGCTCTCTTGCAATCTTGTGGGTGCTGCAGCCCAGCCTGAAGTGGCCCACCTCCCTGCTCTGACACTTGCTGGCAGGTACTCTGGTACTCTGGCCCAGCCCAACCATGCATGCCCTCAAGGCCCAGCTTTGCATGCACCAGCAGGAAGTAGTTGGTGCTATATAGTCCAGTCTGGGTGGCTGGTGACTTGGCGTGACCTAGACCTGCCCTCCAGTTTCCCCCCCTGCAAACCACTCCATCCTAGCTCCATCATCTATCTGTAAGTGCAGTGGCCTGCTTTGTGGGAGATCCCAGAAATCATTCCTTCCTTGTCAAACGTGCCCTCAGCCACTCCCACTCTGATATGTTCCCAGACCCACTTCCCTGAGCAATCTGCTGTCCCCGCCTTCCCCACATATATTTAATATATATTTATTAACATATGTATTCCATATCCAATTAATACTGAGATTGCATTGCCTCAGAAATATCTTTCTACAATTGAATTGTGTAAACCAATCCATGCTGAATGTGGCTGATATATTTGAAATCTCTTAATTGATAGCATTTATAAAAGAAAAATATTTAAACACTTGTTCCTAGAAGACTTCGACTTAGTTGGTATTCATGTGAATAATTTCCTTCACTTTCACTCATATTTGATTTAATCAAAGGTGGAATTAATTGTGAGGTGCATGATTTTTTATGTATCTCTCTTTAAAATTTTGACAGTTATGATTAGGTGCTACTACCAATAAAATACATTCAATTACAAAGATAATAAAATGGGGAAATGCACATCTTAAAATCAATGAAATACTGGAGTGTGAATACTGCCAACTCAATACTTTTTATTTCAAAACAGAATATGGGAGTGGGATGTGGGCTGCACGAAAACTCTCCAGTATAGAAACAGTTACTCCCATCGCAGTGTGTGCGCGGACCCTCAACAGTGACTTACCTCCCTGGTGTTCATGGCTTGCTGTGACAAACATTTAACCCCAGGGTATTCAGATGTTTACAGCACACTAAATAAATATCAATATATTAGCTTTCTGAATAATGTGGGGCCTCAGGAAAGACCATTTTCCTTGAAGATCAGAGAGAAGTGGACAGAGATCGCCCCCCTGCTGGTCACGCATCAAATGCCCACAGTAGTTGAGGTGAGGCTGGATGAAAGCCATGGACTCAAGCTAGGTCTCCCGTGGGGGTGGCACAGACCCATGTACTTGAGCAATTGCTTGAACCAGGGCATGCATTAGCATGCTTCTAGAATTCAGAGTGTAGCCAGAACTCAGGCCTATGCACTTGGAATAGAAATTTGGGCCTTAATTCCTGCACTAAACACTCCTTTTATGCCTTTTTTTTTTTTTTGTAATAAATGCTTTCTACTATCGCGTGCATTGATTTTAGGGTGTGGGGTGAGTCCAGTTTGAAAAGTTATGTATTTATAATGACACTTTCCATGAAGGTAATGGCAGATGTCCTCTCGTCTCGGTTTGTATCATCAGAGATGAGTGCTTAGTGGAAAGTAAGAATCTTTCTTTTCTTTGAAATATTTATTTAATTCAGTTGAAAGACAAAGTTACAGAGAGATAGGAGAGGGAGCAAGAGAGCAAGTGTCCATGCACTGGCTTACTTCCTGAATGGTTACAACCGTCGGGGCTGGCCAGACCCAGCCAGGAGCCCGGAACTCCATGTGGGTCTCACATGTGGGTGACAGGAGCCCAAGTCCTTGGACTCTCTTCCTCTGTTTTCCCAGATGCTTTAGCTGGGAGCTGGATCAGAAGTGGAATGGCCAAGACTTGAACTGGTGCACATATCCATTGCTGGTATTAAAGGCGGCATCTTAATGCACTGCACCACAAAGCCAGCCTAGTCATAATCTTTACATAAGCTGATGACACAAGGAGGAAAATGTGAAGTTCACAATTTCATTTGGCTTCAAATAGGGTGGATTTGGTTTTTACATGTTGCAGATGCTGCCATCATAGATAAATGGAATACCCATGTCAGAGAATCTGGGATTTTACTTGTATTCTCCTTGTTAACTTAGCTTCCTGCTAAGAATGGGCTGTGCATCCAGAAATTCATAATTATATCCCAGGACCTAGAATGGGACAAAACAGGCTCTAAGCATTTTTGCCTCAGGTTGCCAGCAAATTCTGAAAGTCCAGAACATTTGATTTCTTCTTGGAGAGTTGCCAGCCGATGTCTCAAATTTTGCTTCTAGCTATTTCTGCTTTTAAGAAGGAACTGGGTTATTTATTTACCAAATTTAAAGCTATCTAAAAGCAATCCTCCTTTATGATTCTCTAATATTTTGAACACAGAATTTTACGGTTTGATTTATTTGTTTCTTTTTACTTCTTAAAAAGTGACAGAGAGAAAAAAAAAATAGAGAGAATCTTTTATCCATTGGTTGACTTCTCCAAGGCACACAGTAGCAGGGTTGGACCAAGCTGAAATCAAGAATGTAGATCTTCATCTGGACATTTCAGGCAGGTGGCAGGAATCTAGGTACATAAGCATCATTTGTTGCCATCTCACGGTATCTCCACCAGGAAAACGGGATTGGAATTGGGGGCCAATACTCAATCAGGCCCCCTAATGTGGGTGAAAGGTGACTCAAGTAGCTTCTATTTTTTTTTTAAGATTTATTTATTTTTATTGAAAAGGCAGATATACAGAGAGGAGGAGAGACTAAGAGGAAGATCTTCTGTCCAATGATTCACTCCCCAAGTAGCTGCAACGGCTGGAGCTGAGCCAATCCGAAGCCAGGAGCCCAGAGTCTCCTCCAGGTCTCCCATGTGGGTGCAAGATCCCAAGGTTTTGTTTGGGCCATCCTCGACTGTTTTCCCAGGATGGGAAGCGGGGATGCCGGGACTAGAACCGGCATCCATATGGAATCCCGGCACGTTCAAGTCGAGGGCTTTAACCGCTACTCTATTGTGCCTGGCCCCTCAAGTAGCTTCTTAATCACTACACCAAATGCTTGCTTCATGGAACTTAAAAAACAAAAATGCAGGTGCAGGGCCGAGTGCGATGGTTCAATGGCTAAGTCCTCAACTTGCAAGCACGAAGATCCTACCTGTGTGCCGGTTTTTCTCTTGGTTGTTCCACTTCACATCCAGCTCCCTGCTTGTGGCCTGGGAAAGCAGCTGAGGATGGCCTTGGGACTCTGCACCCATGTGGGAGACCCGGAAGAAGTTCCTGGATCCTGGCTCTGGATCGGCATAACATCAGCCGTTGCGCTCACTTGGGGAGTGAATCATGGGATGGAAGGTCTTCCTCTCTGTCTCTCCTCCTCTCTGTATACCTGACTTTCCAAAAAATAAATAAATCTTAAAAAAAAAGTTTTATTGAATACAATTATAATTAAAATTCATATGGCATTAATTTCTTGCTGAGAGATTTTATCTTGTTCTCTTACAGTTATCAGTTAGCTCAATATTGTTTGAAAAGATCCTTCCTTACCCCTTCATACTTTGGTGGTTCCCATTCTTCCTCCCTCCATCCATTCACTCTTTCTCTCTTTCTTTTTCTTCTTTCTTTTTTTCTCTCTCTCTCTCTCTCTGTCAGGATTGATTTTTTTTTTGAAAGTCAGAATTATAAATTGAGAGAGGAGGACAAATCTTCTACCCTGAAGCCAGAAGCCAGAAGCCAGGGGGTGCAGCCAGGTCTCCCATATGGTGGCAGGGACCTAAGAACTTGGGTCATCTTCCACAGCTTTTCCCAGGTCAGTAATAGGGAGCTGAATTGGAAGTGTAGAAACTGGGACAGGAGTGGGTGCCCAAATGGCATGTTGGCATTGCAGGCAGTAGCCTTACCCACTGCTTCACAATGCAGGCCCCATGGTGATTCAGCTTGTATTCTGTTCTATTGGTATTTTGTTCCAATAACACATTTATCTTATTGCTTCCCTCCCTCTCCAAAAACAATTGACTTGTCAGGTCTTGAGCCATTAAATTTCGAAGTAA